TATATTTGAATTTGCTATACTATCAAAAATCACTGGGAAAAATGCCTGCTACTTAAGTAGGCATATTTAACCGAGTACGGTTTCTACAGGAGGTTGAATAGCAGTGTATTCAAAAGCTGACATCCTGTCAAGTCCGAAATGTTATAAAATTATGTCGCTAGATAAGCGGTATTACAACCGCGACCAAGTAATCCTTCCCAATCGAAAACGCATTTCAGAATTTCAGCCAACATTTCATGAGATAGGTCACTCACTGTATGCTTTACCTCGAATTCTGCAATATTCATATTTGACAATTATGCAGATGCATAGGTAGCACAATGTACCGAATTTCAAAACGCAGATGCTTGCCGCTGCGTAGTTCAGCTGCAAGGACTTCGGTTCATAATTAGGCCCATCTTAACGTTCCCGTGTGCTTTTCTGGTGGACACTTCTGTTTCGAAATTGTCCAGGAATTAATCGCAAATTGGAGTAGACCAGTCTATTTGAGATTTGTAGGCTCAGACTGAAATTTATTTTGATTATCTGGGCCGACGTCCGTTAAGCGCAGTGGAATAGCCGCGTAACATTTAAAAACTGCCGACAGGCAACCAGTAGTATATGAATAGGTAACGCAAAATACTGTGCTTGACAGCACAGGTAGCAGCCAAAAACTAGCTAATTTGTGTGAAAATTTAAAATCCACAATTTAAAAACTATATGATCTACTAGGAAGGTACAAGAGAACGCTTGAGGGAACCTACTGATGAGCCAAACCTCTTGCAGCTATGTCATGCAGCGGCAGAATATCTGTATGCTGGGCCTTTTTAGCCAGTACCTCTGATGCTTCATATAATATATCACGCTACGTATACATATACTACTGTCTGCCTGTCAGCACGTTTTGAATATAGCACTATTATTTCACTGTGCTGATGAACGGTGACCCAAATTATTATTATATCATTATTATATTTCATTTTGAGCATATAAGTCTCAAATGGACCGGTCTACTCCAAGTCAGCGAATAGTTTCTGAGAAAAGTAAAAGGTTACACTTCTTTAGGCTTTTAGGCTGTCGTTCCTTGCGCAAAAGTCAGTTGTATCGAAGGAGACTATAGTAAGTTTAGAGGAACATCTTCCGATTTTTAGGTCGTTTGAAGACCGACTACTAGATAGGATGTAGAGATACGCTAACAGAACTACAGACGGCACATAGCCTTCGCCCTTGAATTTTTACCTAATTCGAATCCTCACAACAGGTTGCGTCGTCATCTTAAGCAAATCCACAATTTAAAAAATAGATGATCTACTGCGAAGGCACACGAGAACGCTTGGAGGAACCCACTGGTGGGCCGAACCCCTTGCGGCTATGTCATGCAGCGGCAGAATATCTGTATGCTGGGGCTTTTTAGCCAGTATATATATATAATATATCACGCTACCTACGCATATACTACTGGCTGCCTGTCGGCAGTTTTTGAATATAACAAGATTATGTCGCTGCGCCGATGAACGGTGACTCAAATATTCATATTGCATTTCAGTCTGAATCTATAAGTCTCAAACGGACTGGTCTACTCCAAGTTAGCGAGTGATTCCTGAGAAAAGTAAAAGGTTACAATTATTTAGGTTTCGTGGCTGTTGTTCCTTGTGCAAAAGTCAATTGTATCGAAAGACACTATAGTAAGTTTAGGGGAAAACCGTTCGATTTTTTTAGGTCCGTTGAAGACCGACTACTAGATCGGATGTATAGATACGCTGACAGAATTACGCACGGCTCATAGTCTTCCCCCTTGAATTTGCCCAATTCTAATCATCACAGCGGGTTGCGTCGTTATCTTAGGCATACTTTTGGGTTAACCGGATGTCCGGCAAACATTAAGCCAGCCGGGCTGCTGTGTTACAGCACTTAGGGAAACAGACACGCTTAGCACACGCACTGAACGGCGCATTATACTGCGTCAGCCGCCACTCTCAACCTCACCTACAGTCAACTAGATTCGGACTTTCCGCCGGTGCATGTTTGGGGAGGTAGGAGTCAGGGAAGTCGACATCGCGTAGATACAACCGTCAACTTCCCCAAGTACAAATTTGACGCTTCCTAAACTGTCACAATGCATTAGAAGTTGCATCCCGAGAGACATTATCGTTCGACGGGATCATTTACTTGTCCCTGTTTGGACCCGCTCTTGCTGCAGTTTTCAGGACAGATCATTTTTAGGAACTGTCCCAAATCTTACTTGGTGCGCATTTAAAATCCAGCTGGTATGGAAGACATATAGACGGATTCACTTACCGCACCCACATCGACATTTAATTCCATGATAATCTCCACCTTCTCTATCAAAAAATGAATTTTCAGTTAGCTGATATCTCTCCACCTCTTCCTAATATTGCATGATATCTCACATCGAAATAATTTAGAATATTTCTGTCGCGCATTTCTCCTTTAAGAATGACTGCTTGCTATGTTATTTTTAGTCGTTTAATAGTGAAGTACCATAATGAGGTTTGCAAAGGATGGTATTTCTGCAAAATTCGGCTGCATGATCTTTAAATATTGTTTCCATATCAACTTATTACATATTAGCGTGTACAAATTGAGGCAACTTCATTAACATTGATGTCGGATGCCAAGTATTTTCTCCGAATAACTTTGAGCATTAAATTTTATTCTAACTTTCTAATTTAAGAGGGATTTCTTAAGATAAAACAAAATAAATTTATAGATGCAGCAGGTTTAGTCGTCAATAGACAGTTTCGGCCGAATTTCAGCTTGATTTGGGTGGCATTTTCTACTAAAATGTAGCGTGACATTGTTAATTAATCGTAAAAAGGTTACATTTAATGCCGGTCTGGACGGTATCATGAGAGAATATTTTGAGATTACTTCCAGCTCCAAAGAGGGAGACTCGGTTGGAACATGAGCTTTGTTCACCTGGCGTTTCAAATTCACACCCGTTTTCTAGAGGTCGCATCTCCTTCCCGACTGCTACTCCTGTCAGCAACTACTTCCGGCATTAATTATGACCATTTATAAGATGTCACTGGAATCTGTTTGGCCTTTAAGTTGCAAAAATTGAACACTTGCATTACTTTTAATGTAATATGGGGTTACATTTGTATCGAGGATATACAGGCCCCAGGTGGTCCATAACAGCAGCCGTGCTGGAGTCCATCCGACACACGATGAAAAGTAGACTGTGTCTGATAGTACTAAATGATGACAGTTACTCATCAACTGAATAAACTTCTATTAAGCCAGAGATCGGGCTAATTTTCGTTTACTTGTCTTGCCGTACCTTGAAGGATAAAAACTGGCTACTTTTAGATCGATGGGAAACCCTAACCCATAGATTCCTCCCCTGCATCCACAGTGAGTGACTGTTCTCATGAAATTTTGGCTGAAATTCTCAAATGCCTTTTCGATCAGGAAGAATTACTTAGACGCGGTTGTAAGACTGATTATCTCACGACATAGCCCTATAATATTTCGTAGTCGACAGGATGTCAGCTTTTGAATCCACTGCTCTTTAATCTGTACAAATCGAACTCGGTAAAAAGTGACTACTTAAGTAACATGCGTTCTTCCTATTGATTTTCGATGGTCTTGCAAATTCAAATATATTCTATAGCAGCCATAAACAAAAATATGCTTTCTTTTAGTCGTCTGATAGAGAATTATGTCTTCTCTATAGTTTATACTTACAGAAGGAATATAATTAGGGTTTTAAAAGTTTGCTAATTGTCGAATAAATTGGAGCTCGATCATTCGTTGCATTGGTGCTTAGTGATTTCAATCTACAAGGTACATGCCTACCGCATAAAGAAAATCGTATATTTTTCTATGTCTTTAGAAAATATCATACGGAGTCTATGAAATTTTGCAATGGATGCGGATTATGTTGTACACTTCATGAGTAGCTGTGGTAAACGGCCGGGTACGATGAAATGATTTCGTGTGTCTAAATAATGGCCAAACGATTGTCGCCGCTTTGGACAGACATTATGCTTCAGGGCCCTAGATCATATCATCAGTAGGTTTGACTTAGATTTGCAACCGATAGGCGACTGAAGGAAGAAAAATCGAAATTTCTTTTACGTTTTTACCCTTGCCTCCTTCAATACACTAAGTCGGACGCAGTTTTTAAATAACACTGAGGACCACACGTTGCGGCTTCTGAGGTAGTACCCACAGACGGGATGGTCTTGTTCTCTTATTTGATGGGTGGTCCAGTTCTATTTCCCGTCTCCCTTTTTTATTAGTGCAGCCCTTATTCAACGTATATTTTAACTTAATGGGATAAGCTGCGGGTAGAATGAATTAAGTGTTCCATAAGCCGCCTTTCTTATAGACCAATTCACGCGAAAAGACACGCTCCCTCTCAAGCAGCCGTAATCATCTGCCAGTATGATGAATGAACTACGGGCATGAGGGTTTTTTTTACTGTGTAAAAGTTATGTTCGGAGAAAACCCTTATATAGACTACCTACGTTAATTCTGCCTGAAATGTTATCATTATTCTACTGAAAAAAAGTTACTTTTCAGATGACGAAGATGCGATTACTGGAACAAGAAATGTTTCGGATTCTCAATCGAACCCAACATCAGAGAAATTCGCACCTTTATCTGCTTTTTGGTGGATTGCGGGCCTGAGAGCCATGACTCGAGCAGCTTGCGGCTCACGCGGTTGTCAAAACTTGCGAGGATTTCGGCGTCTTGAAATTGGAAAATATGGCCGGGTTCCGTCGAGTGCGTCGCCACCTGAGAGTTAGCGTCTTCTCGCCTCACTGCTGTCTCGTGCTCGGCAATTCGCGTACGGAGTAATCTCCCAGTTTCTCCGACATAGTTGCTTTGTCCGCATCTACGCCAGATCCGATAAACGACTCCAGACGTTTCCTGCAGTGACAGCGGGTCTTTTGGCCTTATGACTTGGCGCCTAATGGTTGCTTCCGGCCTGTGCGCAATCCCAACTCCAAGTGCAGTGAAAAGACGACCGACGGCTTCCGAGACGTTCTTCACGTACGGAAGGGCCGCCAAAATTTGGGGCCGGTTGGATTTGGTCTCTGGTGTCCTTTGCGTATGCACTGTTTAACAAAGTTGTGCGGGTAGCCATTGGCTCTCATTACCCGTCGAAGATATTGTAATTCAGCAACTCTGTCTTTCATTTCACTGCAGTGCGTCTCAAAGCGCCGGTATAGCGCCCTTACGCAACTGCGTTTGTGACTGATCGGGTGGTTGCTATTGAAGTTCAGTATTTGCGTCGCATTTGTTGCTTTCCTGACCATTTTGGTTTTTAGGCTACCACAATCTTTGCGGCAGACGAGGGCATCCAGGAAGGCCAGCTTATTGTTTTCCTCCTCCTTCTTCTCCATCGTAAACTGAATTTTCGGGTAGACGGTGTTGAGAGGTTCTTTGAACGTCAGCACCTGAACCCGTTCGATGACGACGAAGGTGTCATTCACATACCGAGCCCAGAACTTCGGTCTCTGGTGTCGGAAGTGCAGCGAATCCAGCCGTTGTAGGACCGCCTCGGCTATGAGTTCCGAAATCGGTGAACCCATTGGCGTTCCTTTCACCTGCTCATAGATTGTTCCGTCGAACGTAAAGTACGTCTTGAGACAGAACTTCGGGAGCCGGGTGATTTGGGCGAGTCCGAGGCGATTCTCCGTTTCGTCGTTTTCCTCTTGTAGAAGTAGTTCGATGGTCTCGACTGCCAGGTCCTGCAGGATAGAAGTAAAAAGGGACGTGACATCAAAGGAAACCATGACATTGCTTGGCAAGAGGCTTACTCCTTTAAGTTTCTCCAATAATTGCGTTGACGAGTTGACTGTGGTGTTGAAATCGGTGTTGCGGACAAAGCAACTATGTCGGAGAAACTGGGAGATTACTCCGTACGCGAATTGTCGAGCACGCGACAGCAGTGAGGCGGGGAGACGCTAACTCTCAGGTGGCGTCACACACGACGGGACCCGGCCATATTTTTAAATTTCAAGACGCCGAAATCCTCGCAAGTTTTGACAACCTCGTGAGCCCCGAGCTGCTTGAGTCATGGTTCTTAGACCCACAATCCATCAACAAGCAAAATGACCTCCCGGTACCATATGTCATGCTGCGAATTTCCTTGGGCTGGAGAATCAGTGACGTGGGGAGGGCGCGCGCGAGCAATTATCACAGTGACAGTGGGCCAATTTGCCGAGCAATCGTCACACCAGCATCCAGCACGGATGACGAAATCACGGCAATTAACGACTCGGACTCGGACTGACAAGCCACCACCGCATCAATTACGACCCCAGCGGTGATTGTGAGAACTGTAAATTGCAGTGCGCATACGGTCCACGGCAGCCACGTGCTATAAATACTGCACTCATGGTGCCACCATCACCTTTATCTGCGAATGTCTCTGATGATGGATTCAATTGAGAATCCGAAACTTTAGGCTAATAAATTTCTTGTTCCAGTGATTGCATCTTCTTCTTTTGAACTGCTACCTGGAACTCGCCTGTTCGCTTCTATCAGCAAAAGTTACTTTGGTCTGTTATAGAGGGCATTTCTAAGCAGCGTTCGGTGTGTGCAATTTTAAAAAAGGAATAAAAACCACCCTGTTGTCGAAACCCAAACTGGATTACTTACATTTGTTTACCAGAATTTGTTTGATGAAAATCTCATGGGACAAAAAACAGACCTCTGCGGTGATGGCAATTCGACTTTGTAGGATTTCCAAGGAAGGCGTTCAAGTATATCCGATCACAGGCGTTCGGAATTTCGCAAAACGCAAAATGACGACATTCGACCGTCGCAACCGAAGATATCCACTGTCCGTTCCAATACAAGTTGAGAGCAGGCATGGTTACTGGCGCGTGAATTATTTTATATTTTGAACGGACTTTCGCAGCATCTACCGCACACCCTCCGCCCCCCACTTGAACGCAGTGACAAGTCATACTTAAGAAGGCCGAGGGTGAGGAAGGGCTCAGGTGCTTTTCCCGGCCGTGCCCTCACCTCTGCTTGCCATCACACCTCCTGGTTCACAACGAACACATGATCTGGCTTTTAACCAACAACAGCACCACAACGCGTCGGAGGACCAGAATGACTGGGCAGCCATGTTTAAGACCAGTATTTCCATTATGAGCGCAAGCGCATCTACCGGCAGAGAACCAGATGTCAGAGAACTGCCAGCGAGGATCAAAGTTTGCTTATCTTGGCATAGGAGACGTTCGAACCCTTAAGGTTTGACATTTTTGAATTTTTAAAGTGGAAGCCTAACTACCTGGTAGGTAGTCGCATGCTTTTATAGACAGAGTTGATTTGCGAATGGAAGAGAATATGCGCATCCCAGGTTCCTGTTTAAAGGAAGACGATAGGCCAACTACATCGGTGTTTGCCCATCACGGTGAGAAAAAATATGCGATCGTCTGTAGAAAATTACCGATTTAAGGGGAGACAGGGGGTAGAACCGCACCCAATTACCACGTACGACGTGTGCATAGCATATCTGTTTTTGTTTAGTTAAGAGTATCGAGTCGCAAGAATTGGATAAGTCCCAACAAATGCAGTCCTTTCATTGCTATGGATGCATTTACCCTAAAAACATGAAAGCAGACGCGATTAATTGACTCTCTCACCTCCCCCAGCAGAGTCATAAAGGGCACAGGTCTGGCAACATGATTGATCTCTTTCAAGAAACGATCTAACTTTCCTGGAGCAGAAGAGCATGTATATGCCAATGATGCTCCCATAGAGAAAGCATTTGGCTCACTGCTTATCAAACAAGTTGCGAGAATAATGCAATTTTCTTTAACTGGGAGGAGTTGGTACGCGTTGTGACAAAATAATCGCATAAACCTGACGAGGTAAATAAAATTCCTAATAGGTCTGCTTCTCATTGTTCTCTGAGGTGCTTTCTGGGGGATAGCGCCGTCCCCAATCAGACATCCTGACTTGTTTTCTTCTAAAGTGAGTGTACAACGGGCAGTACATCGGCGCGTCTGAGTCCGTGGTACGAACCACCTGGCAAGTACCACAAATACAAAGCCTTCTAGAGCACTGCGGAATAAGCTCCCGCTATGAAATCGTTTAATTAGTTCCCGCGTATATTCTGCAATGCCGCCAGCTGAAACACATTATTCCCACTGATAGGGCACGAGGACATGAGCTCCTATGCTGATTTCCAGGGGATCAAGTTTATAAGGGTTAGTGTCGAGGAAGAGGTATCTCCTGGAGTTAAGCGCAAGGCCATCTGAAATATGGGGTTTCCCTCTTTTTCTGTCCAACCCCCTATCGTCTTTGCTCTGCGATTCAAGCAAGTATGGTTTGAGTGATATGC